GAAACTGCTTAATGTAAGGGAAATCAATGTATTGTGTAGTATACATACAGAATGGTCTGTGCTCAAAGGGAAAAATACTTTGGGGACATGGAAAAAGGATTTTTTTTTTCTTTTAATAAAGGGGTGAGTGGAAAATAAGGAGTTTTGTAGGTAAAGGTGCCCTATTTTCGAGGTTCTCATGGTCAGAAATGCATTTGTGGTATCTTTGCTTTACTTTCTAGCACCTCAGCATGCATTGCAAACTCAGTGATGTTAAACTATTGGTTAGATTTACAGAATTAAATATCTTCAAACATAAGCAGGGAAACCTGCAGCTTTTCTTCTGCTAGAGGCTGTGGTATTACCTGGTGGTTTTCTGGTCTGCTTTCTAAGTACTCTGTAAGCTGCTTGCATTGGTTCTGCCCCGGGTATTGAGTACAAGTGCATTTACATGGCCCAGTGATCGTTCCTTCCTCACAGAAGGCAGCATATATCAAGCAGCACATCAGTAACTGACTGATGGAAAACAATCAGTTCATTCTTGCAACCCACTGAACAACTCATTTTACAGATAGCTGTTGGGATTATATTCATAAACAGCAGTGGAAAAGAGTATGCTCTCTGGCATTCATGGAATTTTGTAATAGGCTGACATGATCTCAACTGTCAGCCAGCCTCCATTCCATCTTCCTGTGTGCTACATTCAATCTGATGCAGATATTTGTTCCTGTAAGTGCATTTGTCCTCCTTTTAACTTGTCCAAACCATACTTGTCATAATCGTTAAGTATTAACTGAAAGTAAACCAGAACACAGAAGTTGTTCTGCACTAATTTAAAATAGCCATGTGTGTACAAACAGCTACATCCTGACAAGAGTACAGTTCTGTCTTCTAACCTCTTGCTTTTTCTGTTTTCTTTAATTTCCTTCTTTGTAGTGATGAGTATGAGCAAATATGCTTAGACAGATGTAAGTAGACTTAACAAAACAAAAAACCCAATAAAGCTATTCATTAATCCACTAAATGCATGATCAGTTTTACTATTGAAATTGATCTAGACTTAGTTTTCCCAGAAATATTAAATAAACACAATGTGTAAGTAATATTGTTAGTCTACTCCTCTCGTCGCTGGAGGAGTTCAAGAAGCATTTAGTTGTTGTACTGAGGAACATGGTTTGGTGGGAAATATTGGTGATAGGTGGATGGTTGGATGATCTTAGAGGTCTTTTCCAACCTTGGTGATGCTATGATTCCATCACCTAGATCCAGTTTTTTTCCAGAATATGTTGTAAAATTGCCTTTCTTTTAAGAAAATTAAGGGCAGTCTTACTGTGTTGGTCCCAGCTAAGCAAAAAGGAGAAAAAACATCTTAGGGTGCCTTCATGAGCTGTTTCTGTTTCTGTCCCCAGTAGGTGTGTGTGCTGCTGTTCCAAGCTGTTCGGTCACGTAACTGAACGCTCTGTGTATCTCCTTGCTTTCAGCTGCAGCTTCCTCTGGTTGCAATTACCTGAAGTTTTCCTATTATTTTCTGGAGACAAAAAAAAAGTCCAGAAATAATTGCTTGCATTTAAATTGTTGCTGTAACTTATGGGCAGGACATTAAAATACGATCACTTTACAGGTATCTCCCTGTTAATTTGGGGTTTGAAGTTGTCAGTTAAAAATTTACACCAAGCTCTCTTACTTCTTACAATAAATCACATACTTAGATAAGCTGCTCTGGCATTCTGATGCTATAAAAAGCCATAAAGAAATAAAAACATCAAAAGATGTGTTCTCATTCTTCCTTGGGAGGGAGGATGATGCAGTGCTGAGATGTTAGAGGAGCCCTACTTTTTCCTGTCCTTAACTTTAATAAGTTTTGTGGTAAACATTAAATAGTCTCAGAACTATTTGGTTGCTCATCTAAAGTACACTTGGCTTTGAAGTTTAACGTTAAGAGATGTCTTTATTGTAGAGAAACAAGCGTGCAAGGACACTTTGCTTTTTATCTTTTCGAAATGATCCCGCTGATCTAATGGCACCAGTTCAGTGTGTTTCCCATTTTGGCTTGCCTAAGAAATGGTTGGTAAGCTAGGAAAATGAAACGGTCACCAGTTGGTCAGCCAGCATGCAGCTGCTATGGTGGACAGGTGCAGACTGGGGACCCAGCAAACCTGTGTGACAGAATCAGAGCACTGAGGGCAGTCGGTGGTTCTTAAATCATGGGGAGGCAGCAGCGCAGCTCAGCGTAGTGCACATAAAAACTGGGGTGCTTTGGGGCCTTTTGGTGCTTTTGAAACATTATAATCCCTTTCTACGTCAACGTAGGAAATGTAAGGTTTCTACCATTCCGTGGCAATTATACTTTTGACTGTGCTGTTTTTTTTTTTAATCACTGAACTAATATTTTCATGCTCAGGTATGGTGTCTGACTGTACAGGTATGGGATGACTGTGAGGGGCCTCTCAGGTCGTCAAGGAATTCATCGCCATCATAGCTAAGTTTAATGATCCTTTCTCTAAACAGATGGTGCTCCAGACTGAAAGTAGTTTAGCCTTTTGCTCCCACTGTTCCTTCTGGAAATAACTGCAGAACCTGACTGTTCTGAGATGGAAATTAAAAGTGGAGCCTTTCCTCAGCAAGTGCTCACTTGTTCTCAGACTTTATATACTTTATATAGGCAATAAAAATTAATCACATCAATCTCTTTCTGTAGTCTCCGGCTTAGGTGGAGGGGGAAAAAACCCCACTGGCAACTTTTCCACCTTGTACAGAGAGGAAATGCTTCTGACCAGTGTGGGAGGTCCGTGTGTAAAGGCTCTACCTTGGGCAGTGTTCAAAGCATTCTGCTCTCTCTTGCGTGCCTGCTTTCAGAGAACATTGCCACCATTCACATGGTATCAGTTAAGCTGTGCCATCACACTGAGATAGCAGCTTTGTAAAGCAGGGGATATTGCCTGGCCAATCAAATAACTAAGTCTAGCTATGTGAAAATTGTTATGTGTTCTTCAAGGCTGAAGGAAGCGCAGTGTAGAGAATCACTCTCCTATATTAAATCTAAAACTACAGCGGGGGAAAAATAATAATAAAAAAAAAAGATTACACAAGGGTCTGCTGCGGAGTCGGAGGCAGCGCTGCTTCATTAAGAAAGTGCTCATATGACTGAAGTGTCGCAGAACACATCAAGATTGACTGGGGAAAGTGTGCCCACCACCAGGGGGCGATAACTTGTCTAACAGTCCTGGTTCGGTCTGGGAAAGCAATTACGTTATTTTAATGATAAATTTGAAAAAAGAACGAGGAGGTACGGCTTTATCCCCGAAGTCACTGCGAACAAATATCGATGTTTAGGATTACCAAGTAACAAAGTAATTTTGTAGAAATAATCCCAATGTCAGAGAACATTTGAGGGAACGACTGGAGAAAATGACAGTTTCGATTCTAATTGATAATTATTCTAATGATAATTATTCTCTTAAATTTCAATAGTGGAACTGTGAATGTGTTTACAAAATGAATTTTTAGTTCCATCAGAAATAAAACTGTTGCCTGATGCAAAACTGCATCTGAAGGTTGCTCATTCCATTACGCAGACCTCCTGCATCAAGCAACAACTGTGACAATGAGCTCAGTACAACCACTTGGATAATCTGATCGTCCTTTCATCACTAGGGGGCTAACGGCCTTAGATTTGAGTGATTTAAGTATAATTTTCCATTCATTATATCAGTGTACAGTTTTGTCGTTATGTTTCCTTTGCGGTGGAAATATTTCTTAAATATTTAATTCCTACACCAAATGTCATGTCATTGCAGCATGTTTTCGGTCAGGCAGGCATGTCTGTGCTCCTTACAAAGGCAAAAAGCACTCGGTGTGGTGGAGCAGAGCTGAGGCTGTGGACGGTGCTCCAAAGGTTCGTCAACAGTTGGTTTATAAGGAGGATGAAGAGAATTAAACCCCTTGGCAGGTGGGCTTGGACAGCAGACGGTGAGGAAAGGCTGGGAGTGCAAAACATGACTTTACTCTGACAAATGATGCATCAGTTCATATGTTTCTCCTGCTGTAAAAACTGAAACTTCCCAGTAATTACCAAAGAACCATTCTCTGGTAATCATTGTTAAATCTTTTTGGTGTAGGTTTTTGTTTTGGTTTGTTTTTGTTTGCTGGCTTGGATGTTTCCTGTTTTATTTTTAATAATTTTATTTTATTTTAAATGGTAACCGAATGAGCAAGCAGGGGGCTGGGCGCTGCAGGCTGGGCTCCCTGCAGGCCAGCGGGCCCTGCTGCACACAAACCTGCTCTATCTTCTGCCTGCATCTGTGCTCACCGCAGCGAGGCCGTTATCTGCCTGCACACACCTCCATGCAGGGTGGGAAAATGTAAGCCGTAGGGTGGTTGTGGCATCAGAGCAGTGTTGTAAACTGGTCCAGAACATGTTGAATATGAAAAACGGAAAGCTGGCTCTTAAGTGGTAAAGTGCAGAGGTCTGAAACAACCCTATGCGTGGAGGACTGGGTTGTAAATGGAGACTTGTATATTCATAAAGTGGATCTTGGTAGTTCAGGAATGTTAGTGTAAACTTAGGGAGCTCTGGGGAATTATATCAATGGTGTCAGAACTCCTAACAATTACAAGAGGCTTGATTAAAAGTCATAATCTGTAAGAAATACTGTACTGGCAAATAGCTTCTGAAATACTTTTGTTTCCATATCTGTGAGGATTTATTAACAGCCAGGTTCCTTTTTGCTGCTTCTTTTCTTCATCCACGGTACCATGGGGAACTTGCTTAGTTTCTTTCTTTTGTTTAAAAATCTCTTGTTTGCTGTAAGCAAACAGTAAGCCAGGGGCTGGCTCAGAATGGATGTTATCCCAAAATTCTCAGTCACTGTGCAGCTTCAGAGTATTTATTCATTCTTTTCCATTAAATATCTTGCCCACAAACTGAACTGAAAAACCAGACTGAAGCAAGGTTTTGTTCTGAACACTCTCTTTTCCAGTTCCCAAAACAAATTAGGTGGAACATTATGCTTTTTTAAAAAAATTATTAATTTATTTAAGCAGGTAAGCATTAAATTTTAAATTATTTTTGTTATGCCATGAAAAAAAGCTTCCTTTTCATGTCAGGTCATTTAAGTCACATGCTGATGGGCATTTTTCCTTTTCCTTCTTGTCCGGTTTTTCTTATTGGCAAATACCTTCAAAATCTGCTTTCTTAATTTAAACTTGCATACATTGTTTCAAAGAGACGTGCCAGTCATTGCCTCTCAACTGGAGAATATATTCTTGAAATACATGTTATTTAAGCTGCTTGCACCTCCAGCTATGACTTGCAGTATTGAATAGAGTCAGTTCAAGGAGAAGAACTGAAGGTGCTTTTGTGCTGTACAGCAGAATGTATAGGAGGCCCAAATGTCAGGGGATTTACTTTTCATGTTAAATCAATCATTCTAAACAGCAATTTGAGGGTTTGCCCTTTTACTTTGAAACTAAATAACATAGAATCTGCTAAAATATGGTTCGTCTTAGCAGTATTGCTCCCGTATATGGGTTGAGATTAGGTCTCTTCTGAAAAAACTCTCCCTTAAGAGGCTGCTTGCAGCTACCAAGGATTATCTGTATCTATTCATCCCAACTGCACTAACCTTTACTACATTCTCCAGGGGATTTTTATTTGCTGTGCATCTTGTTGGTGTACTTCTAACTTGTTAATGCTGACAGTTGCAAAGCCTTTTTCTCTTGTCCTCCTTGAATTATAGAACTGCAGTTTGGATGTGATGAATTCTCAGGGATTCATGGAAAAAATCTTGATAGTATCTCGGTTTTAATAATCACAGTAATAAAAAAAAAAATACACCAAATTTGAAGCACCAGGGTTTCTTTTATCAGTCCACTTTAAAAGTTTTTTTTCATAATCTAGCTGATGGAAGAACTGAATTTTCCCTTGTTTGTGTTATGTGCCTGACATTCTTTTAGTGTCTATTGAATGTCTGACATCTGAAAGCTCCGTTTCCCAAGTTTCCCTGTTTCAAGTCCATCATCATTACTTTGCACTGAGATAATATTGTTCTTTTTTGCCTTACTTCAACTCTAAATGGATGCTTATGTGACTTTTAGTCTTTTGCTTATTTACATGGATTGTTTCACTGCAGTGTACAAGGCGCCTTATTCATCAGGCCAAATAAACACACTGCTACATTGGAGTCATGTATTTACCAGCCCTGTGCTTCAGACAAAGAGAATGCATGGGAGGATTTTGTGCCTTGTCTTGGCATTTTAGACTCAGATCACTTTTTCCTTCATTTTTGACCTTTTTGACTTTCTTTATGTATTCCAGTTAACTTAGCCTTCTGCTTTTTTGTGGCATCACAGGCCTACAGTTCTATGGTAACACAAGACCTGGAGAATTACAAACATTGCCTCTGTTTTCTATGGTAACACAAGACCTGGAGAATTACCAAACATTGCCTCTGTTTTTCTGCGTGTAGATCCCAGTTGTTCACACTGCTTCAGCACCAAAGGAGGTCTACTCACAAAAGTAAAACCTGTTCTACGAATCAGTGTTCAATTGATATTTTTTGAAAGAACTAAAATTCTAGCAAAGTCTGCAGCAGAACATGGGGATTTGGTAAAGTATATGCAAGTGAGAGAAAACTGGTTGAAAATATTACTTCTCTCTGTTCTAAGTTTGCATGTCTCCCAGTGAAGATGCTTGTCAAATTTCTTCTAATTCTCTTTACCAAATCTAAGGTACTAATTTAGACTTGGTAAAAATATAAATAAATGCAAAATACAAAATAAAAACAAACGAGACAGCACTAACTGATAGTCGTTTCCACAGATTAGAGTGACTAATCAATAATTCAGATTCATTAGTGGAAAGAACAAAGGCCTCTCCACTCCCATGGGGGTTTCACAGAAAACAGGCAGAAAATGCTCATCGTCAAGTGGAAAAAGTACTGAGGAACAGAACTTGAAAATACACTGGGCTTTAAATACAAACCTCATTCACAGCTCACAAAACAAGGTATGTCATATAAAGATTAATGTGACAATTGAACAGTTGTTGCTGTTCAAAGAGCTGGGAGAGCATTCCCTGGCTTACTAGTTTGGATGGCTGAATAATACAGAAATTGCTGGTTTAAACAGAACCTAAACATATCTCTTTCCTCTCCAATTTTGAACCAAGAGTTAATTTGTCTTTCCATCTCCAAGTCATCTTTCAGCTCCTTCTTTCCCAGTTCATTCATTTGCTTCATCCCAGCTTTATAGATATCACTTCTCTTCTTCTACCCACAGGCCCTAGGCTGCCTTGTGTATTGCATGTGCTCCCATGGGCAGGCCCAGTAAATGGATACTATGATATGGCTTATTATTACTTTTCCACTGTTTACAGGATCACATGTGCATATCATCCTCTTTCAATCTGAAGGGCCCCACCACTCCTCTGGGATGTTTCTCTGAAAGGCCACGTGACACGCATGTTTTCCAGTTTATCAAGCATCACTCAACTACAGGAACTTAGGGAATAATGGAAAATAAAAACAAGCCAAATCAAAATCAGTAATAAAAACATTGACTACACCCTAAAAATAAGGAAAATTGACTGTAAGGATGAACTTAAAAACAAAATCCAATCACCTCATGTACGAGATGTTCCTTTGACATATGACTTGCCTTCACTGCAACTGTGTACAGACAGGAGTGTTCTTTCCACTGCCTAGTCTGTGATTACAAACTGGAATATGATCTCGTGCACTTCAGGCACGATGGAAATTCAAGAACTGTGTCAGACAAAGGGGTAAGGTTGAAATATTGATAACCTTTCAACATCACTGACCAAGACAGGAAGCACAAAGAGAATCAGGATTCCTGAGCTCTTCGTGTTGTTCGTTACATTTAAAAAATAAAAAACTTCTTGAACTTTGGAATGGGTCACTTTGCTGAAATGGCCCTGGCCTGGCTTTCACAATGAAGTGGGACAATCCTGCACTCAAAAATCTCCCACATCATAACAGTTCTTCACTGAACGAACTCTTACGTCTTAAGACAAATTCAAAAGGGCTCCTAGCAAGTGCCACTCAGGAGGGCACAGAGTTCAATTAACCACTGTTAACAAATGTTAAATAAAACAACAGCTACTAATTCTTCTGAACAAACCTCTAGACAGCTAAAATTAGTAACAGAATTTTTTTCTTTTTTACCCTGTTGATGGATGTACAATTTTTGTGGCTTAATGAGAACAAAACCAAAGATGAGGATGAAGAAAACACAAGGAAAGCACTTTTATGACAGAAACGAAAATCAGTTAAATTGAAGTAGTGAATAGTGAAGAGGAGATAGGTTACAAGGTAGCAGTGCTATGTGGGAGTCCACCTGAGAAATCTCAGGCCTTCCCATCACTAAACTTCAGTTAGATTCAACTGGACTGCATGGAAATAGATTTAACTCAAGCAAAGGTTCAATATATATTCAAACACTCCGTTCAAACAACTTAGAAAAATAATTTAGAAAAATTAATAGCTGTAAGAAGCTCATCTAAACAACCATTTACAGCACAGCATTCATTCTTAGTAATGATCACCAAGAAAGAAGACAAATGCAGAGAGACTTAAGGCTTTTTTCTATCTTTGATGTCAATCTCTCGCATTAATTTTAGAAAGACATTATATTTTTACAGTCCTCTTTTTCAAACTCGTTGGGTTTGTTCAGATTAGGAGAAAAAAAATAGTTTACTTTGCGACTAGAAGAGTATGTGACTCCTGATACCTGAGCCTACACAGCTTTGATCTGTCTCACTTGGACACTGTAAAGCTTTTTGGTTAATACATACATTAATGCATGAAGCAATAAATTGGGGAGGGAGCAGATTAAACAATAATTCTTTTTGATAACATATATATATACATAGTCTTTATACTTCCCACTTTTCTGCTAGCTCTTGTTTTTGTGCCTCTTGCCCCATGTCTTCAAACTCCTCCAAGTCATGCTGAGAGCCAGCACATCTGCTTTGAACCTCAGACTTCCATTCCTGTGGTGGCTTAGAATAACTCCCCAGCCAATATTCCTCTAAAGGACTTAGGTGTATGTCATACTACCAGAACAGAACGCTCCAAAAAACTACAAACAATTGATGTGCATTACAAAAAAGCAACAACCTGATGTGGCTGAACCTTTCTTTTTATTGTGAGGCCTGTTTCCCATGAATAGCTGTTATGTGTAAATAGATGCTGGGCTATCAATCTTTTACCTTTCCTACTGTGTTAGTGCCATAGCAGTGGATAAAAAATGTTGAAGGGAAATGACATTTCAAAGAAACACAATTATGTAATTCAATCATGTTTGTTTGACCATTTCCCACAGGTAAATTTTCTTGATTTAAGTAACTGTCAACAATCTATAGTGATTTGTCTGAATGTTACAGTGACTCTGTTTTGATCTTTTGCTAAAACGTATCTATTCATCAACAAAAAGATGCTGCTAAATAAAACCACACAAACTTATGCTCAGTTGACTGAATTTTTAACAGAGCAAATCAGTGAATATTCCTGTCAGATAAACTTGCTGTGATCTTTCTTAGCATTTTTCAGAAAACTCTTTGTGTACAAATCTTGCAGTGGCAGTTTACCACAGATGCAGTATACCTAATCCCAGGATTAATTTTGTATACCCATCAGTAGTGAAGTAAGATGGATTTAATAGCCCATTAGTCTTTCAGCATGATAATTTCCACATCACTTAGCCTGCTGGGTTAATTGCTTTAAAATGGATATTATTGACCTCAATCCCAGTGACAAACAGGATGTCTTATTCATCTCCCAGATGTACATTCTTAGACACTTGTTTCTTTTGGTCCTGACAATAAGTGCCCTAGATTATACACTCATAAATTATAATTTATACCCTATTAGCCCATATTTAAGGGATTACTGAAGCAGTGTCTTTCAGAAATCATTAGGCTAACTTTTAAGTTTGGGTGCTGGTTTTTTTTTTGTTTTTTTTTTTTTGCCTTTTAATATAAACAGAAACGGTTTGAGTATAAGAAGCCGTTGTTTCACCTTTTGTTAATAAATTAATGTTGATGCTGAATGCTGCAGCAGGTGCAGCAGGGATTAAGCACTTTCAGAAAACAGCTGGTCAGTATATTTCAAACCACAAAAGCAAAAGTACAATCATTAAGAGGAGAGAATGAAGAACAAATTTGAACAGAGAATTAGGAATGAAAATTAAGGTCCTAGGACTAAGAAGCAGAAAAATATGTCAGGTAACAGAAAATCAAATAGTAAAGCTGAACAGTAAATTACTTTTTTATTATTATTTGTGTGTATTATTTCTGCTCTTAGTAATTGAGAGAAAAAATACAATCCTTCTGCTTTGAGGAAAGTAGCCCTAGCTGTGACCAGTCAAACATAGAAAGGGAAGAAAAGCACAAGTTACTTATTGCTTCTGGGGAGATGGAACAGGTGGAAAGCTGATGTAGCTAGTTTCCTGGTCTAACTTCGCTTTATAAGACATACATTAGATAGACTCAATACTTTTTAAAAAGTGATTTCTAACGAAACTTAATGTTTAAAACGTCATTTAGCCACTAACATAAGGCCATCTTGGTGCTGGTCACAAATAACATCTTAACAGTTTCTTCTTGAAGCAAATTAGAGCTTGCTCTTGTCTCTAGTATGATACAAAACTCATAAGACGCTTCTTATTAAACTTTGTGATTGACTTAAATAGTAGTGGCATGTTTCCTGTGAGTTCCATTCTACACGTCAATGGAAATGAAAGCATCAGTGACAATGGTATCATTTTTTTAACCAACTGTTCCTATATGATATTCATGACACAAGCAAGCAGAGCTGGACATTTTCACCTCAGTTACAAAGCACCTCTGACTCTCTGTCAGTGGTTTATGGGCTGGTTCTCACTGAAATGAAACTGAACTTGTATGCAGCAGCTTCCTGCTACCGCAGATCTTTTAGCCAATCACTGCCCTCTTTCCAAAGTATTTTCCAAGAAAAAGACCTTGATTTCTGACCTTTAAACTTTTTATTTTTCTTCTGAATTTAGGTCATTTGCTTTAGGCCACTGAAGCCACTGAAAAAATGTCCAGTGTTTCAAAGCATGCTTCAATGGAGGCAACAAAATGAAAACTTCTGAATAACAAGAATATCAGCATTTCAGAGAGAGGTTAGAAATTAGACAAGTGAGAATTTGGTCCTTCCAAGACTGGATATATTCCATATTTACTTTTAAGAATGCCATTTATACACTTGTGTCTATATAGTGATTTTTTACTTTGTTTTTCACTATAAGAGGCTCCTGCCATCTGCATTAGGAATATTTCAGATCAGTGCATTACACCTGGATATAAGAGCTTTGGACTGGTTGATCAGGTCATGTAAACGAGCAATTCCTGAGGTACTGGAGGAATGCCAAACTACTGATACTGAACACTAGTCCTGGGTTATTATTATTATTATTATTTTAACTAAAACACAACAAACCAAGCCTAATCAACCAATCAGCCAAACAAAACTATGAGGAAAAGTCAAAGTATGAGGGAAATAGAGCAAATCAGATCTTGCTCAGTGATAACAAATACTGATGTCAGATGTCCAAGATCTGACCGTAAATACACAGCACAGGGAACCATTAAAGCTTACAGTATTCTAATCATGCATAGCGTTGCTCAGTGTTTTTGCCAACTGAGTTACAAAACAATAAATTAGATCGAAAGTTGTTTTTTTCTTTGAAAGTATTTTGTACTGAAGACATTCCTTCAGATAGGTAACAACTTTGTAGCTTAGTGGCAGCTCTGAGCTCTGAGCTTAGGCCAGAGCCAAGGGTTTCTCAAGAGTGGGAGCAGTTACATGTGACTATTAGCTGTTCCTTCCCTTTCACGGGGAAAGCATCCAGTTGGAAAGAGAAATTCGCAAGGGGAAACTGTGTATGCCTGATGCCAGCAACAAAGAAGTCACAGATAGATTACAATGTTCTTCCTACAATTGCCTGGTGAAAATCTCAGGCTGGATGTTGGGAAAAAAATTCTTGTTAGAAGAAGGGGAGAGGCAATGGTCACCGTCCCTGCAGGTGTTGAAGGACTGTGGCGATGTGGCACTGAGGGACGTGGTCAGCATGCCCGTAACGGTCGCGCCTTACTACAGAGTGGGCGAGGGGGGAGAGGGCGGTGCAGAGCGCAGGAGCCAAACCCTTCGTTTTATTGAGGTTTTCCTACCGAGGTTCTCCACAGAACCGCCCCCTCCCCTCTCCCGCCACGAAGCCCTGCTGGGTCACGCCGGGTAACGCAGCCCCGCCAGCGGTGCCAATCCACCCCCCCGGTCGGGGTCAGAGGCGGGATGGAGTGCGTCCTCCCAGCCGAAAGGGGGCGCTGCGGCCGTCGAGTACGCTCGGCCCCGCCGCTCCGTCGCCGCCATCTCCTTGCCTGATCTCATAAAGGTGTCGCGCAGGTTCCGCCTGGACTCGTCGTCA